TCGCCGAGATGAAATCCAAAGGTGGAACAACATTTCAGATTCAACTGTATTATTTTATTTTAGAATAGGATGATAGACTAATTGAATGGCTATTAACATTAAGTAAGGGAACTAATTCCTATTCTCAATACTATTAATGACTATTTTTAGAATGGTATTCATACCTTATTAAGAAATGAATACCTAAAGATCAAGTAATTGAAGGAATCTTAATTTAAAGGATACATTTTTCTTGGATTTGCTTAAACAAAGGCAGTTAGGGATATGGTTTGCTTGTCTAGTACGTATCCCTGTATAGTAGTTAAGGAATTAATCATATTTATTCCTTTTTTTGCAAAATTATACAGAAACATTTTTAATCAAATGGTTATTTTTTTCGTTAATTTTTGTTAGATTCATTTTCACTAAATCCTGGTTGTTCTTCTTCTTTTTTCGTTGGCCTCAAATCAGTTCGACAGGATTAAAAGCGCAAAAATATGGAGGTAACCTTAAAACTTTTTCTTTGGCGAATTCGTCAATAACGTACCCGTTAGGAAATATCTTAAAAATACAGTTCATGGGCAATAAAAAAGTCTTTAATTGGCGCTTTATTCCAAGATTTTGTTGGATTTTTTTCTACCAAATTTGAATGGTACGATGCTTTGTCCATTACTATGACGCTGTTTAAAATTTAAAAGAACATTCTTAACCTTCCGGCAGACGCGCTCACAAAGTTACATGAACAGGCGCGCATGTATCTCATAAATACACTACCATATTTTGGTATAAAATAAATTAAACATCAGTACCAGTAGATTTCTCAAGTAGTCTTCACAATCATTTTCGTTATTTAGATCGTATTTATTTTTTCCTGATGCCATTGTAATGCCTACAAAAAATTAAAACATAAATACAACATAAATAGGCGCATGTATCTCTCAGATACATATATAGTATCTTATCATATATTTTATCATATTGCAAGAATATTTATACAATACAGCAAACGTTCAAAAACCGTAAATGAACTAAAAAAAAATATGAATTAAAAATAATTTACATAAACTGTCGTGTGTAACTGTGAGACACAAAATATCAATCTCACAACGGCTGACCACTAGGAAGTCACATGGCATACTGTTAGATAAGACCACTGGAGCCAGGAAGGTAGGTAGTAGCGGAAAGGTCTTGCTCTTTAAACGTGATAGTACAAATAAAAAGAAAATTACGATGTATCTGAGGGATACATGCGCCTTCTTCAAATAATGGTCTCGACATATTTTTGTGGTAATCTACATTGCATTTAGCTAAATTAAAAAAAAAGCTTTAAACTATTGGGAACCCATCCTTCTTCTGAACCACAATGGAAGAATGATTCACCTTGTTCCCTTATATACATTACTTGACAACGTTGGGAGTTATTGGTCCAGCTTTTTTTAGGAGTGTCATGTGTGTCCTACCTGCTCTCAACCAAATAATAAATTTTTATTTTGGTTTCTGAAATCTTTAATATGTTCCAAGTTAATTATTTCGCCAATTTATTATTTTTTGCGTTTCAATTATTGCACACCGCTTGTCAATAGTCAATAAGGAATTTTTTTCTGGTACGCATCGTAAATAATTGTCTCAACCATTTTCGCCATTGATGACTTCAGCTCTTTTTTATGACCGACGTTTTGGTGTTTCTTCCTTTCTTTCGGACTTTTTTTTAAATACAATAACTTATTCTTTCAGCTATGCCAGTTAAAAACGCCGTTTTTTCAATAGTCCCTGCCTTTCTCTGCATTTTTCTAACATTTCTGTGGCTTGGTTACATAAGGGCCGATCTCAGAATTATATAATTTAAGTAAAGAGCGTTTAAAGTATTTATTAAAATTGAGTCAACTAATATAATGTTATAAAGTGAATGCTGGTAATGGTACTGATGCAAATTCTCTTATTAATAAAATCTTGCTTATTTATAAAAAATATTGACTTTTGCCCTTTTAGAACCAAGCCACAGATTTATATTTTTTTTTTTTTTTAGCTTTAGTGGACAAATGCTGAATAGTGTGATTACCAAACGGCACCGCCGGAGGTGCAACATTTAGAATATCATTGTCCTCACTTTCACTATCGCACTCTATAATTTCTTTATTAGATCTATTTACAATTTGAAAAGTTTCCCTCATGTTGAAAATGGTTTAGAAATATCTCAAAAAAATGTCAATATCTTGATTCGAATTAATTTAAAAAGGCACACTACAATAATTGTTAAAAAATTAAAAGTAATTTTGTTAAAAAATTAAAATTTTGAGAAACTAAATTATCTAGAACTTTACATATTTTTAAAGTTTAATTGCTTTCATTTTCTGGAGCTTTAAATTTCAGATCATAATGAAAATACGAGACACTATTTTAAATATAATCTCCAATTTTGATCTTCTAATGACTTTTTAATGATTTTTTAAAATTTATCAAAATTAGTGGCTAAAACGCTGGCTCCTGCTTGAATGCAGTTTTAATTATCGTATCGTACACTCTCAGTCATCATTCGTAATAATTCGTTCTTGCTAGATATATGATGCAATCCCGTCTGCTCACACCAATCCGAAATACTGTAGATATTTTATTTCCAAATCTGTATACAGACTGGGCAATATAAACCTTTCGGAGCTTCTTTGTCTGTATCAGACTGAACAACTATAGGCGATTGCACATGCATTAGAAGAAGCGATATAGCATCGATGCTTCCATTTCACGCATCAGATTGAAAAGAAAAACGTTACTATGTATAATTTTATTTTATTTAATACATTGCATCCAATATTATAAATAAATTTTTTCTACTACCGTGCGTAAAGTACGTACTTTACGCACTCCACGAAGTGTGTAAAGTTGTTCTTTTTTTCACTAGTGCGTAAAGTAAAACTCTTTACGCACTAGTTAAAAAAAGTAAAATTTGACAAAATTTGTACATAACAACAAAATATAACGTTTTATTTTATATTAACATTTTTTTGCTATCTCCTTCTAAGACAAATAAATAAATTATTTTTGCTTATATCTATTTAGTGTCCAACAAATTATCAACAGTTTATTTTAATTATAATTTTCTCTAAATATCATCGATTTAATTAAAAGTAAACATACAGTGGATGTCGATTTTGGTAAAATTTTATTTGCAGTTTATTATATCTGTCATAATCGATATGGATTCAAATTTATCTAGCGATAGCGAATTTGATAATACTCCCCCAGATATCTTATGCAGTGCACAAAAGGCCACTGTAAATTTATTGCCAAAAAATCTGCATATATTTATCAGCAAAAATACAATGCATTTATAGAATGGTGTAGGAAGAATAAGGTGACAAAATATTCGGAAAACGTTATTTTAGCATATTTCTCTGATGAATTGAAGAATTGCAAAGCTTCTACCCTATGGTCGATTTATTCTATGCTTAAAAGAACCTTAAAATATAAAAACAACGTTGATATTTCGAAATTCAACAAGTTAATAGCGTTTCTCAAACAAAAAAATAAAGGTTATAAACCAAAAAATCCAAAATTTTTGAACGAGAAGATCTAATTAATTTTCTGTTGAAAGCTCCAGATTCCAAGTTTTTAATGATCAAAGTAAGTAAATGCCTCAGTAAATGCTTGAATGTTCAGTATAAAATTAAAATATTCTGTAAAGTTTTGCAACGAGATGTGTGTTCGTATGGTGTGTTGCCTAACAAAATCAGTTGCTGTCCTAACAGGCCACCGAGGTTGTTAGGCAGCACATTATACCTAAAACTTTTATATTTTTTACAATAGCATTTATTTGGAGTTTTACATGCGCAACGTCAAGATATTTCCTAATGTTTAATAAATTATTTGTAACATTACAATATGTTATTTTTTAGGTAGCTTTTATAATTGGAATTGCGGGAGCTTGTCGCCGGGAAGAATTATGTAAAATGACAATTAACGATGTGGAAGATAAACAAACAGTGTATATTGTCAAAGTATCAGAAACCAAAAATGGAATAGAACGCATTTTTACGATTTTAAATCCAAATAATTCTGCAGTTAATTATTTATCTTTCATAAAAAAATATACCTCATTAAGACCATCAAATATAAATTGTAACAGATTATTTTTAAAATTCGCAAATGGAAAATATTCTAAACAGCCTGTAGGGATAAATACTTTTGGTAAAATGCCAAGTGTTATAGCAACGTATCTAAACTTGCCCAATCCAACGGCTTTTACAGGACACTGCTTTAGGAGGTCTTCAGCCACTATGCTGGCAAATTCTGGAGGAGACCTTCTAACGGTCAAAAAACATGGAGGATGGAAATCATCTGCTGTTGCAGAAGGCTACATAGACAGCACAATAACACAAAAAAACAAAATTTCTAATAAATGGATGACAGTATGCCATCCACTTCCAAACAAAGCTACAATTTTACCGTTGACAACTCTAATGAAGAATTAGTGGAACCACTCGACAGTGAAACTAGAGTTACACAAAATATTTCAACCTCTTTACTTGAAAAGGCCAAATCCATACCACTCGAAGCTCAAAATAGGGTTACAGAAGTAATATCACAACATTTTTCAAACTCTGTGCTGGAAAAGGCCAAAACATTAAGTTTTGGTAATTGCAATAATTGCACATTCAATATTAATATTCATAAGAGTTAAAAACCTATTTTTCTAAATATTTCTTCATTTGTTAGTCATTTTGTTCTGTAAGAATTAAAAATTTGTAAAGTTCCAATAAATTTATTTTTGTTACTGTGTACCATTTTTGGCACATTTTACTTTTTTCCACTAGTGCGTAAAGTAAAGTACTTTTTTTCATTAGTGGATTATGTGTACGGTAGTAGAAAAAATATTGTATGCCACTCGTGTGTAAAGTCCCTTTTTTGACTCATTCACATTCGTCAAGAAAGGGTAACTTTATACACTTGTTGCATAAATAACTATTTTTGTGGATTACTCTTTATAAATAACTCCAAATTCAATACAAACTTTTTTTTGCTTGCAGGCGTATGGGTATGCTCTTTGACGACAACATGCAAAACGACCAAGGACTTCCCTCCTGCAAAGCCCTACCTGGATTAAGTCCTGGCCAAAGAAGGCTTTGCCAGCTGTATATAGACCATATGAACGCTGTTGCTTTCGGAGCAAAGCATGCTCTGACGGAATGCAAACACCAGTTCCATAACAGGAGGTGGAATTGCTCCATTCTTGATGATATCAACGTATTTGGACCTGTCATTTTCATAGGTAAGGAAGTACTGATAATGATTTGTTTGCAAGTTACTTAAGGTGATTACAGCACCTCCTTATAATTTTCGGACAAGGATATCTCAAAAAGTAATTTTTTGAAAAAATTTAAATTTTGGCCAAATGAATTAGGCAATAATATCTAGAATATGCATATTTTTTAAAGTATTCATTCCTTCCAGTTTCCGAGAAAAAAATCAATTAAATTTTAAAATATCATGAAAATAAATGCATTCCTCAATAGGACTATTCTTAATATAATCCATGAATTTAAGCTCGTAATGTCTTGTTAATGATTTTTTAAAATTCGCCAAAATTAGTGGCTAAAACGCCTCGTTAAGTGCTATCTTCTGCTGTAAACTGGTGTAAATCATTTCAGGAAATGAATGATGACTGAGAGTGTACGATACGATAGTTACAGTCGCGTTACAACAGAAGGCAGCACTTAACGAGGCGTTTTAGCCACTAATTTTGGTGAATTTTAAAAAATCATTAATAAGATATTAAGAGCTCAAATTTCGGGATTATATTAAGAATGGTGCTGTTGAGGAGATTTATGCGCATCTCGGGCGTCGCAACTCGAGCGGAATACTTAATTTTTCGCATTTCGGGCGTAAGGCTACAGGTAGATTAAATACCCTTCGCAACTCGGGCGTTCAAGGATCAGTACCAATATTATAGTAATATAATAAATGTAACCTCTTTAGTTTAACCTGAGAAGGTGCTTTCGGCTTAAACTTAAAATTATATACGGAGTGCCGTACAAGAGGAGCTTGCCAGTTTTTAAATATTATGTAACTTTCATAAAACAAGATTTTTTATTTATCTTTCTCGGCGAAAATAGTCTTTACATTACATTGTTATGACATTTGAAATTGTCGTTTTTATTGAAAAAAGTATAATTTATTTTTTATATAATAATTAGATTGATAAATAATAGTGTACCTACCACGGCTAGCTATTTAATTTTTATTTTAATACATTTTTTATGTACAGCGTGTCTGTGTAAGTTGGCTACATATAGAAAAAAAATTTTTTTATTAGTTTTATCAAAAAAAATTAATCGAACCTTACAACATGTCTTAATATTTCGAGTGTACTTCGCAAGTTAGTTTTTCCGTTTGTGGCGAAAGTCTAATTCATTTTTAGTTTATTTATTTAAAACACACTATTTTCAATTTATTTCAGACGTACTATTTAATTTATATAATACTAACTAACAATGCTAATTTATTTCTTACACTTTAACTTTCCAATATAATGTTCTATATTAAAACTGTTTATAATCAACTGACCGCCGTCTTCACACACGCGATATTTATATCAAGCCAACTCTGTAACCAGAATAATCCCGATGTTTGGGAAAATTCCAATTCTGACTCAACGGCACACTCCGTCCGTTCTACCCGTTTCTCGAGCCTCAGCGACATTCCCAGAATATTCCATCGCCTCTAGCATGAATCGGCTGCCCAGACGTGAAGGCCGCGTGTTTAGACAGAGTCGGACTTAATAATTTCATGACAGTTTGTTAAGTCTTCCACGATGGCATTTATTTGTCGGTCGAGATTACTGTATTTTGTAGCTCTTTTATTTAACTATATTTTAATATTATATTTAAACGTTGTTATGTAACTAAAAGTTAATCATTTTGTTAAATATATATATAATATGTAAAAGATTATTGTATTTCAACCTTTTTAACGTTTGGTTAATAATGTAAACCAAATATCTACGTTATTTTAATATTAATTATTCTAGTTTATTTTAATATTCTTTTTAAATGTTATTATGTAATTGTAGTTCAACCGAAAGTTGGATATTAAGATACATACACGTTTAATATTAACGTTTCTTAAAATTACATAAAACTCATAATAAAAACGTTATTGTATCGAAACACTTTGACGTTTTGTTTATATTTTACCTAAAAATATTAATTATTCTACTTTATTGCAATCATATTTTTAAATATTTTCATTGATTATACTTAGAATATTAAGTTGGTTTATGTTTGTTATGTTGTAAATAGCCAAGATTTGACAAATTTCTCATTTGTAAGAAGAGAAAGAAGATGGGTTATGTTGTAGTCATTTTATTTTTAGTAATATAATTTTATTTTAGAGACAACCATATATTCTAAATAATTGGAAGTTTGCGTCTGTTGTTGGATACATTTCTGAAATATCAGTATGTTATATTTCTGATAGGTTTCAAATTATTATTTATAAAAAATATGAAATATTACATTTACAGGATATACAGGAATGTTTTAGAAATGTTTCTGAGGCGTTTCGTAATATTTATATATTATTTTATCATATTCATGATTTCCTTAAAATGGTCCGTATTCGAGAATTTTGACAAAAAGTGCAAAATTCGAATTTTAAAGAAAATTCTTCAAATAAAAGTTGCTTACAATATAATTCTCTATAATTTTTGTTCCATACATTTCTCTAAAATAGACCGAATTCGGGAAATATGAGGTAAAGTGCAAAATTCGAATTTTCCTCATTATTTTCACTTATAATACCACTAGTGACCAAATTATTTCCGGAAATATTTTAGAAATCGCGAATAAATTGAAAATAATCCTGATATCATGCTCTATATTTTTTATTATACACATGATTTCTCTAAAATAAACCGTAATGGAAAAATCTTCAATTTTTTTACATCAACTAACTTTTCAATGCTCGCTATCTGTTAAAATAAAAGCTTGTTCTGCGATGTCATTCATTTCTCTTAAATTTTCGATAATTCTTTACTACCTGAATCAGATTGTAATCAGAATCAGGGTACATAAACTGGTCAAATTTCATATCCCGTCGACGCCCGAGTTGCGAACTCACATGTGCACAATTTTGGAGGGCGCCCGAGTTGCGACGAATTCAGGTAGTTTTATATTACGCCCGAGTTGCTAACGCACGAGTTGAGAAAGTACCGTTGAGCAATGCATTTATTTTCATTATGATATTTTAAAATTTAAAGCTCTTTGATTTTTTTTCTTGGAAACTGGAAGAAAGTAAAACTTTAAAAAATATGCATATTCTAGATATTATTGCCTAATTTATTTTGCCAAAATTTAAATTTTTAAAAAAATTACTTTTTGAGATATCCCTGTCCGAAAATTATAAGGGAGTGCTGTAATCACCTTAACAGTAACAGACAGAAAACAGAAATTTCAATCAAGAAGGCTCTATATTCTGTCATATATGGTGTCCCTCATGAAACAATACTGGGGTCAATGTTATTTATAATCTACCTAAACAATTTGTTTTTGCTAAAAGAGGACAACAGAATAATTCGCCTTGCAGATAACACGGTAATACATATTTTATACTGCTAAAAATTTCTTTGAACTAAAACAGAAGGTTGAAGCCTATTTATCAAAACTTAAAGCTTGGTTCGTTTATAGATTATTACCGATAAATTTCAAAAAACTCTGTATGTACTATTTATTTCTTTAGAATCATCTCTTTCAAATTTTATGTTAACAGTCCTAAATTAAATTTAAATTTAACCTGAATAATAGCATACAAAGAATTTGTCCAAGTCCTGGCCATCTTAAATTAAAAGCTAGTGTATTTATGTACTGTGGTGCTTTAACTATATGTATTGAAAAATGATGAGAATAAACTGTTCTACAAAACATCTTTATATAGGTACAACGGCACGAAATTTGGTGCATTAATTATAACAATGTTATTGTTTTTCTATGGCTACTTGTAAGTCAATAAAGGCCATATTTTAAAATTATTTTGAAATACTTATACATGATGGACATCAAAATTATATTTTTTTATGATGTTTTATTGCATTTATACTCAAAAATTATTACTATTTGTAGTGGTCATACTAATAAAATTAGATCACAAGTGTTAGAAATAAAAAAAAACCTGTTTTTAGAGTCTATAAATGCAAAAAATGTAGGGTGTTTCATAAAAATATCTCTTAAAGCTTGTAGCATACTTGTCCCAAAAATGCTTGTTTTTTTGTTTAATTTGAGCATGAACTTTTATCTCTTTTAAACCAATATTTCTAAAATTAATAATTCTATTTCTATTCTATTTTTTTTTATTTTATATTGTGGTAATAATATAAATCTCAACATTTTTATAAATATGAAGTAGGTAATTACAAAGTTAGTTAGTTAGTTATTACAGCTACGGTAGAAAATGGTATTTATAAAGGTACAATAATTTGATTCTAGGAAACAGTAATTACGCCTGTAATGACTGTTCACCAATTGGACCGAAGAACTACCAAAAGTGGTAGTTAAGCGTATTTTCTTCATTTTTTTTTAGATATAATAAGTTCTCGGTTTTATTTGTCATTTTTTCTTTTTTTTTTTTAGTTACTACTTTATAATGACAAGAGATAAATAATGTCGGTATTTATTTAATTACACGTTATAAGATCATAAAATTATAGGTTAGGTGTAGACTGAACGGAAAAGGTCAAATTCTCAAAATCTATTATTGCATGCTGGCTTTCTAAGCTTAATAGTAACACTATTTTGAATAGAAAATGTCATTCATTTGATATTTTTAGAACGTTTTATCGCCAGAAGTATAAGAACATCACATTAAGGAAACATAGAGCATAGTTTAATGCGCCATCTTTTGATCCTGTTATTTATTTGATTAACTGATCTTTGCATATTGCTAAGATAGCATCTGGAAATTTAGCTATTGTCTACTTGGTCTACTTGGGGTATCACGAGTATATATAGCAGGAACTTAGGACCCAGGACGATTCCCTGTGGTATTCCTGCTTTGATCTTTCAATTCATAGTATTTTTAATTGCTTCTTTTACCTGAAGAATCCACTTGATCAAAAACTTGCGCAATATCAAAAATGATGACTGAGCAGACTGCTTTGTTTTCTAACGCTTTTTCAGTTACATGAGATTCTATGAATCTGATCTATAATTGCATAGTTGTACTCATAAATTGTAATTAATGATTAGTTTCAATTTTTTATGAGTAATTTGTTGATAG